ATGTGCAGAATATCCTGGTAGTTTGCAGATTACTTTGAGTAAATTTATTGGGGAAATAATTTTTGTCACGCACTTTAGCGGATCACGCTAGTCAATCTGCACATTAACTGGATAATCTGTAGAATAATTGATATCGCGATAACACATAGATATTAATAGATATTTTACTTTATATTATTTAATTGTTTAACAACAAAGAAAATCTGCATTGCTAAATTAAATTCACTTATATAGTTATTCATTTTATAGTTTTTAAATTGATTAAGGATTCATTCTATCAACTAGTTTGTTGATTATAGTAATTTGATATATTTTGATAGAAAAAAATAAAGTAATATCACTTTATTAATTCAAACGTACAGAAATGTTGCTGTTCTTCCAGTAAGATATCCTATTTTTCACTTAGAAGGTATACCCTATAAATACTGATACCCTATAAATAAGAAATACCCTATTTTCACTCGTTTATAAAGAGCAGATTATATCTAGGTAGTTTACAGATTACCTAGGGAATTTGAGAAATAAAATAATTTTTGACCGCACTTTAACGGATCATTTTAGTTAATCTGCACTTTAACTAGATAATCAGTAAAAATAAATTATGTCAACACTTTAGTGGTAATACATACATATAAATGGATAAGTTACTTTACATTCATTGTTTAATTGTTTAACAACAAAGAAATCAGCATTGCTAAAAATAATTTACTTAAGCATATTTACCTAATGCTACAATAATATTAGTCAATGTTTCGTTAGAAAGTTTTATTTTATGAAGAATTTTTGCAGTTCTAAAAATACATATAATATCTGCATATTTAAGTCTCTGTCACAGCGGCTTTTTTCAAGTTCGTTGCATGGGTGGTCCTCATGCATACTAAAAAGCGAATATAATGTCCTTTGTCATTCTTCTTTCCAAAGGGTTTTAAACAGATTTCAATGAACAATGGCTTATAGGCTTAAAGAGCAATAACTTTGTTCTTCAATTTTACCTTATACTGTACCCTTCTTGTGGTCTGTTGTATTTTGATGTGATAATACTTTCTTACCTGTTTGTGAAACTTGCTCGAATCTGTTTGGACAAGTGGGACTTTATCAATTTTTAAGTCTGTGTGAAATTCGATATCCAAGAAAAAAAAGTAAATTGATAATTTACAAAAATAGTTAAATTATTTTGAACCTCTAACCCAGTTTTAATCAAAATGCAGAATAATATTCACGAATTCATTCTAAACTCATAGAATTCCTAGTATTGATACATGTTGATTAAAGCACAAAATAAATTTTAACAAATTAATCAATGCTTTATTTATTGTAATTTAGGTAATTGTAATTTCAAATTTTTGTTGAAGTTTTCGCTGAAGGTTAAGTTTTTCTTTTTTAATGAATTGATACCTTCAAAAGATAATTAAATTATTTTTTTACTTCTAACCCTGTTTTGATTGAAATACAGAGTAATTTTCACTTTTGAAAAAGAATAAATGGAATATAGATAATTCTATAGGCATTTTCTTATAATTCCTAGCATCAATTATAGTCTATTAGAAGCCACAAAATATATTTAGAAAAAAATTTATAAGTTAGTTTTTTTATTTATTATTTTTTATTTAGTTGCATTTCAGTTTTTTGTTAAAGTTTTTCTTTGAATGCTCTTCTGTTAGTTTTTATTCGACCAAATTAACTTGTTTTAGATCTATTTTCGAATTGAAGTGTCTAGATCAAAACTTTATGCTTTTCTTTCCTTTCTAAAAAAGAAAAAATATTTTCATATAGTCACGATTTTTATGACTTTTCTTTTCTTTTGTTTATTTATTTCAGCTGATACAGTATCGGTATCACAGTAAATTGGAACAGCAATCATGTCACATACCTTTCTATATTTTATTAAATATATTTGTACTAAACCACTGAGATAATTATTCTAGTATTTTAATTAAACAGTTAAAAAAATTCTTGTAAATAAATATTTATGAATGAAATATAAATATTTTATTTATGAAATATAAGAATTTACTTATGAAATATAGAAATAACGATATATACATTTTTTTTAATATTTGTTGCAGTGTAACGAAAAGATTCGAGTAGTCAAAAGTTAAATGAAACTCGTTGTTGATAATCTACGGTGCAGCTTGTTAATGCAATGATTGGTGTTATCATTGGTTGTGTCGGGATTGCAATTCAATTAATTATTAAAACATAGTATAATCGAAACTTGATGATTATAATTTTTTTTAACCCAAGATTTTAAGAAAAACACACACACCTATTATTGTTAAAATTTATATTTAGTTCTGTTTTTTTCAAGGTTAAAGTCACAGATAACAAATTTGCCCACGGAGTGTTGAGCCCTGAGTAAAATTGAGCAAAAGTGTTCCTGATAGTCACTTTTTTTCAATTCAGTAACATGGAAAAATCGTTTTTTTTTTTTTTTTTTTTTTTTTTTTTTTTTTTTTTTGACGCAGGAAAGCCTGCATATTAAAGTTCGAAAAAAGCCAGGATTAACGCTGAAAGGGTTAAAGTATCTTTTTAGTTTAAAGGGAAATTTAGTATTACTTTTCGTTGCAAGTAGTACTCAAAACAATAATAATAATGAAGATGATTATACATGAGTAAAATGAAACAAAACATATTTAAATTTGAAAGGTTTCAAAATAGATTTTTAGATATATGTTGCTTACATAAACGTGGTGGATATTGGAGTGTCATTAATAAGATGAAAATCATTAATTACACTGTGGAACAATTTTTATTTTGTTGTCTGGTGCATGTGATTTTTCAAAAGATCTTAGAAACTTTCGTATCGCTGATTTCAAATCTTATAAAGGCATAAAAAGATCCCATCATTTTCTCGTTTTCCTAAATATATTTTTGTTGATGCATGTAACTTTGTCTTAAATCACAATCCATTTTTTAAACACATCATTAACACTTTTATACATTATTTTCACTTTGAAGTTTCATTGTTTTTTCCCCTCAGTCTGTGCATTTTTTAAAAAAAGTAATAAGAGATAAAAAAAAAATAATAATAAACGTAGTTTTTTTAATGCTTTTCACAAGATATTAAATTGCAATTTCATGATTATTATTTTTTTATAAATATTGACCCAAATTATTTTTAATCACTGTATTGAAAATGTACTTTAAACTTCTTACTGTAGAAACTATTTAAATTAAAGAAAATAAATAAATAATAAATTTTTTTAACATTTTTTTTATTAAACAGTAACTAATGCTATATTTTAAATACATTTCCAAGTCATGTCTGTTTTCGATCTCAATTTCTATTTACATTTGAAAACAAATGAATTTAAAAAGTACAAAAACATCAACCCATTAGCCCCAAATATTGAAAAAAACATATGTTTATGAGTTAAGTAATCTATTTCTTGAATTTATAATTTTATGATATAATCCCATGTATTTCACAATCACTTTTAATGAAGATACATTTATAAAAAAGTTTAAAAATTTTTATAAATAATTTATAGTATTTTATACTTTTTTTACGATAATGCTTAAATAGTTGCTGTTTAGATTGGATTCAAATAAATTTATTCACCATAGACGCTTTAAAAAAAAAAAAAAAGATGAGATAATTAAACGCTTATAAAGAAAAAAATATTAAGCTTTTTTTGTTGTTTGAACATTCATTTTATAGTATTATTTGTAAAGTATTGAATTGATCGTTCTGCAATTTTCTGCCCATGTATTTAAATATCTTTTAATAGTTGCTTAAAGACGCCAAAATGGACACTTAATTAAATTGTTTTACTTTCTTGCAAAATCTAACAATGCAAAATATAATCGACTCTCAGAAAAAATTTTATATGATGAATCATAATATTGATACATTGAATCATAATCCGGAGAACATTTACTGCATCCTTAGAAAAAATGCTCATTTGAACATAGTGTCCATTCAACTTGAACGAAATAGAGCAATAGTTACCGGTAAAGTGCAGAAATCAGTTATCCTATGTATTATCTTGATATTGTGCTGTTTAACAAATGTGAACCGTTAAACTGCTAAAAATTGCTTAATTTCTCAAATTATATTAGCAATTTGCAAGTTACTTAGATAATCTGCAGGTTACTTACTCGGCACTTGTTAAGGTGAAATTAGGATCTTTTCCGATAAATACTTTAATTAACGTTATGTTGCTTATTTATTTTTCGATATCTAATGAATCAAGTTACTACAATCAATCAATCAACAAGCTGACTCTTGCAATTAATCATCAATCATTAAAGAACAAAATGATTTAAAACTTTTCAATTTTAACAATATGAAAGCCGTCAATACAGCAAAGTGCACATTATTAAGATAAAATACGTGGAAAACACTTGGTTCCTCTCTTTAAGGGTAATTTAGTGCTGATCTTTAATGGTAAATAATCACCCTTAGTAATCTACAAATTTGCTTGGTAATGTACAAGTTAACAGCTTGCGGTAACTTAACCACTTTTAGGAAATACTAAAACATAATTCTATTTAACACCATATTAATGTTACAGCATATTTAGGCGACGTTATGGTTAAATACTTTCTAAAATTTCGGACAGACTATAAATTTTTTAAAAAAACGCCACGCATTTTTAAAAACATGTTTGTTAAATATTGCTAAAGGTATTTTGAGAATTTTACTATGTTTCTAAAGGAATAAAATAAAAATTTATTTATTATTATTTGAAAAAAAAAAAGACAGACCGATATATTCTTAGAGTGACGATCAGGTAAAAAGATACCATTTACTTTCACGGTTGCCAACCATTCTTCCATATTTCTCACGCATCCCAGCAAAACATCATCCTCAAAAGTTGTCATTTCTCCTGCAGAAACGCCCCCTTACCACCCTAAATTCCCGCTCTCCTATAAAACAAGGCATGTCTCTCTATAAAACAAAAACATAGTTAAGTGCTCCCCTAGCACCAAACCAAAACAAAAAGAATCGTTTGAAATAAAAGAAAAAAAAGAAAGAGTATAGGGAAGAGATAAGCGGGAGCATCCTTCCTCATTCATCCCTGGAGCGACGCGATTGAAGTTCTGCGCATGTGCTCCTCCTCTTTTTCACTGAGTAGGCTCGTCCTTTAGGGGCTGTCCCACCAAACCTGAACCTGTTACGCTGTTTGATACCGCGGCAGTTACGGACCGCTGTTCGACGTGAGCGTTGCGGTAGATTTCGTTTCGCCGTGTGTTGTTCGTTTACCCTCTCAAGCGAATGTACGGACCGTGTTTACTGTTTCGGATTTCAACTCAAAGGAACTTTTTTTGATCTTCTTTAATTCTCTTGATGGTCGTCGCTGGAAATTGTCCGTAAGTTTTAATTTTTATAGATTAAGAACGATCTAGAATAAGATATACATATATCAGAAGTGTTTTAGAAGCCGAAAACACGAAATTTAAGTTATTTTATTTCAGGTATTGTTTTTATAAAGTTTTCTCAGTTAAAAAAAGTTTTTTAATAAAAGAATCAAGGATAACGAGATTTAATCAAAACATGATTTTTTTTAACGTTGTTTTAAAATTATTTGTTATTCATTAATATAATTAATCACTTTCATTCTTTAATTATATTGTTAAAGTTTTCAGTTCCATCCTGTAGATAAAGCATTTTTCTGCAATTCTCTCATATGTTTCATAAAAGTATCAGAGATAACGAGATTTAATCAAAACATGATTTTTTTAACGTTGTTTGAAAATTATTTGCTTTTCGTTAACATAATTAATCACTTTCATTCTTTAATTATCAATATAATTAATCACATCCATTCTTTAATTATATTGTTAAAGTTTTCAGTTCCATCCTGTAGACAAAACATTTTTCTGCAATTCTCTCATATGTTTTATAAAAGTATCAGGTAAACGAGATTTAATCAAAACGTGATTTTTTTTTAGTGTAGTTTGAAAATTATTTGTTTTTCATAAATATAATTAATCACTTTCATTCTTAAATTATATTCGTTAAAGTTATCAGTTTCATCCCTTAAACAAAAGAAGTTTTCTGTTTCAAACCAAAAATAAAAAATTTCAATCATTTTTTCATTACGTTTTTCTGCAATTCTCGCATGTGTTTTGGTAAAAACAGTAAAATTTACGCAAGACACCACACTTTTTTTTAAATAATTGTTTTTTTTATAATCTAACAATTTGATTGTTCCAGTATTTATGCAACAAATTAAAATTTCTTAAGGCTTTATTAAGATATAACTAAAAAAGTATGAAAAACACTTATAAGATTAATATTTGTTTCACTTGCTTTATTTTAGTTTTTTTTTTTTCAATACAGCCAAAAAACTTTCAAAAAATGATTAATGTAAAACTAAAAGTTAATTTCAGTAATTTTTAATTTATTAATTTAAAACCTTTTGGTTTTAAATTAATAAAATGTGATTACACCCCTTGAACGATGAAAAATCGTATGTCATTTTTAGCAGTAGTAATCTTTGTTGCTTGATCATTTGATATTTTTAGTATCCTGGTTGTTAACTGTTGTAAAAACACGTTAAAATCAGATCGTAAGAAATATGTTTTCAAAACTTTCGGTTTTCAATACTCAGAGAAGCACAATTCTGGTGAAATTGCCGCATTGTATAGTAATGATATTTCTGGTTAAAAGAAGAAAAAAAACTATAATTTAGGTTAATAAAAGAAAAATTTGCGGAATTTAAACCATTAATTTGATAATTTTTCCGTTCATATGGTTTACAGGAAATACTAGTCTTTAAAATTATAATTCTTTTTTCCACACATTTAATAAAAAATACCAAACTGAAAAGTAAATTTCACCGAATAAATAGATATATACCATGCTCTAAGTTATCAAATTACCAAAGTTCATCACATATTATAAAACTATATTTTGTTGCTAATCCTACCAAAATCATTACCGAAAAGCTTTGCTAAAAATTGCCAAGCTTTTTGGTGTTCCCATAGAGCAAGAAAAACTATAAATTTTATCATATTCCGGTAGTTTTGACCATTTTTTTCCCCAGTATATATTGTAGTTATCACAAAAAAGTTAATAGTTCCACATTCCTTTTAAAAATAGATTGTGGAATAAGCAACATAGTTACCACGTTTAACTTTTCTGCTTACGTTGATATATCTGGGCAAAGTTAATTATTTTAAGCTTCTCTATCAAAACTCTGTACATAAAGCAACAAATAACTTATTTGAAAACATTGAAATTTTTGTTTAAAACAAATTTACTAAAACAGTTTTTATTGAATTATGTTTAGTTCCGCAGATAAAAAAAATAATAAGACTTCTAATTTTTAACTTTAAACATGCCTGATATGTTGAGTAAATAAATCATAAAGGATCTAATGCATTTAATAAATTACAATTATATATTTTTAATAACAAATAATAAATTAAAACATTTTGCAATTTACACAGAGCATTTATATACAAAAATATGGTAATTAGTTCAAAACATTAATGACGATTAATTTTCGTTCTTTATACTTTAATAATAAAAGTACGTATTGTTTAGCAAAAACTGTAATAGTTTTTATAAAATTAGTATAATATTTTACTGTTGCGAAAGGCAAAACTTTCAACAATCATAATTAGTTTTCATTTTAATCTAAGTTCTAATCAAGTGTTACATAAATGTTCAATAAAATTATTCAAATTAATTAGATTTGTATTTAACAAGAACGAAAATTTATTTAGTTATGAAATTGCATTGATACTTTTTTACTGATATCCTTTAATGTCGGCATTTTAAAATTTAAAGAAAAATAATAATTGTATGGATTTCTTTACTTTTGAAAATAAGCAACTTTGATTAAAATCTTTATCGAAAATCACAAATTTAAAATTTTATGGTTATCACTCAAAAAAATTGACCCTTGACATTCCTCAAAATTTGTCTCGGTGGTTGGAATTTTAAAATTTCTTGATCAATCAATTAAAAGAGTAATAATTTCTAAAATATTTTAAATGCGTATTATTACAAAAAAAAAATTTTTATACAAGTTGATTTTTGTACTATTTTTTTTTATATAGACGGTTGGTTGTACAAAATATTTTTTATTTTGAATATCAAACCATAAAATCTTGTACGCAATATAAATTCTCTTTTACTTTTTTTTTTTTTTTTTACTGTAATTTTTTCATTACGATAATAAGAATTTCTCTTCCTCATACACTTTTATTTATAGTTATTTTATATCTTTCAGTGCAAAACTATAAAATTGGTGATATTATTAGCACTAAAATACAGCCATTTTATGCTATAGAGAGCATTAAATTTTTATTAAACCGAGACAAGGCAAATTCATGTTTGTAACTAACAGTTTTTTAAGTTTGATATATATCTGAATCGGAGCATAATAAATTCTTCATTTCCAAAAACTTTAACTCATGGTATTGAAATTCCTAAAATTTTTATTTAAAAGATAAATATTTTATCAATTAAGAGCATGCATAACTTTTTTGAAACAACAATAAGTCACAGAAGAAAAAAATATTGAAGAATAATAAAAAACAATCATAAGTTTTGATTACTTTTCTGATTTTTGATTATTATTCTGACTGGGAGTAAAAAATTCGGTAATATTTCTGATTAAAAAATATTAATGCTGGTTAATAAAACCAAAATATATTGTATTTAAACCATTCTTTCCTTAATTTTTTCGTTCATATGGTAAGAATTTACTGGAAATCCTTTTTATTGGAAAATTATAGTTCTTATAACCCCACATTTAGTAAAAATCGAAAAATCAATTTAACCGAATATATAGTTTTTATGCCTTGTTCTGAGGTATCGGAAAAAAATTACCAAATTTTACCACAGTTACAGAACTTTAACGCATATTATGAATCGTTATTTTATAGTTAATTTTAACAAAATCATTACCAAAGTGCTTCGATTAAAATTATCGAACTTTTTGTTATTCCCATAGAGCCAGAAATACGGTAAATTTTACCACATTCTGGTATTTTTTACCATACTTTTTTTGTCAGTGTACTCTGCAAGTTTATTTCTGCGATTAGGTAAACAAATTAATACATTTGAATGAAGCGACGTAAATTGTATGATTTAAATTTTAAAATGTCATGCATGCAGCATTTCAAAAGTAAAACTTATATGAATAATTCTTTTTTAAATATAATGTAGTTTTCACAATTGTGTTATACTTAGTAATTTTTTTACAAACTGAATCAAAGAATGATAGTTTTCACTACTTTTATATTACGGTCATAAGAAAGTAACTTTCAAAACATAGCTTAATTGCCTTCTTACGTACTTTTATATGTTCATATTTTCTTTCTGTATTGCTTGCCTATCTGTATTTAAAAGCAGTAGAATCGTTGCCAGATTGCGGAATTTTTTAATTTTATTGGTTTTCCATTGACTTGTTCTGCTTTGACTGTATTAAAATATACCATCATAGAAAATTGGCTATACTACTGACTATATACAATGTTTGCCATATTAGGAATAAGTGTAAGCTTTAAATTTAATTGTAAAGTTTTTTTTCCAAAGAGAATAGCATCTTCGCCATAAAAATCACGGAACAAAAAGTTCAATAAATTAATTAGAATTTATTTCAAGCTCAAATTGAACTTCATGTTCAATGGGTAACAGGGCATTTCCATATTAGTGTGAAACTACGATTTTGTCAAGAGTTTGCTCTATAGAAAGAACAACCAACCGGCATTCCTTAATCCGCTTCAGTTCGTTTGTGTGCTGCCATATCTTCGGATCATCTTCAGGGATGTTTCATAGACCGTCGCCAATAGCCCATTGTGCTGCTCTATTGCGACTCAAATCAAATACTATCAGTTCGTTTGTAGCAAAGTACTAATAGTAAATTCTAACGTATTTACTCTCTTTTAAAAAAAAAAAAACGTTTTGAAACCAAAATTGAGTTATGCAGCCACCATTAAATAAATGCTTTTAAATTTCCCTTATAACTTAGATAAATGTTATTAATTATTGAAATTAAAACTTAGAATTCTAGATATTGCAAAATACAATAAACTAAATCCAACTTCTTTAGTAGGGAAAGGTGCTTTGTCGAAATTTTTACTTTTTTCAAACCGCATTTACTTACATCTAGGGAACCATATAAAATGACCATATTTTTTTGTAAAAGGTCGTATTTTTAGGAAAAATCTATCCACAATTTTCTGAATCTAAAATTATTGTAGAATCAAGTTCTTCCTGACAGGTTTTTTTTTTTTTCTTTTTCGTGGTTGTGGGGAAAAAAAGTTTTATATTTGTGAAAGTGAAAATAAAGTCTTGTATTTGTGGCAAAGCGTACAAATTATGTCTTCTAAAGAAAAGAAAAATATGAAAG